TATAAATATCCTATACACCCTTTACGTAGTTTCCTCTGATGGTTACATTTTCCAAAACTAGAGTAAAACATCATACATAAGTAGAGTTTAACGTCAATACTGTCAAGACAGAGAACGTTTCCACATGTCCACCGCCAAAGGATTCTTCGTGCTTATAATGAGAAAAGGGTTATTTTGATTCAGTGTTGAAGATTTCGGCCCTTGATTGATTGGTCCCGTTCCTCTTTCTTCTCCTACCCGTGTCTGTCCCTACTCTTCCTCCTTCCTTGGCATGCTTAAATCTAGACTCCCCCAAGGCCTCAAGCACTCATCGGTGTGGCTTTTGGCTGCACATTACTGATCAGTCCACAGACGGATTTAGCATGGTTCTGGAATGATGGACTTCTCTTTCTTTCCTTTCCTCTCCCATTCTTCCTCCTCCTTCTCTTTCTTTTCCTTCTGAGAAAGAGACTCATTATTTTGCCTAGTCTACACTCTTTGGCTCAGTGATCCTTCTGCCTCAGCCTCACAAGTACCTGAGACTACCGATGTGTCGTCACACCTGGGTTGAGCTCACTTCTGTGCTTGTGGCGAGGCAGCACTAGATGAGACAGGCAGAAAGAGACAGGCTTCCCGCAGTGGGGTTGCCCCTAGCTCACTTCTTACAGTTTCCACCACCTCTCAACTGCACTGATTTGGGGCTTGAACCTTTAACACAGGAGCACAGGCAGACACCGAGATCACACAGCACTGTCCACTGATACCGTACTCCCCTTCTCCGACTCCCAATTTATCCTTAATCCCAGCAATCACTAACTTGTTATCCCTTTCTGGTTCTGTGACTTCAAGAATGCTATGTAAGTGGGATGATACAGAAGTAACCCTTGGTATTGTGTCTTTTCATTCAGTGTAATTTTCTTTCGCCATCTTTTGAAGCTCTTGCATCATCACAGTTTTTTTTTTAACATCTGACATATATTTGCTTATTAGGCCAAATTCCATGAGAACAAGGATTCTGCTTTGTATATTGTACTTTTGCTTTTACAACCTTGTGTACTCTACTTATGAGACAGGAATAAATATTCACTGAATGAAATTTAAAGTCTTTAACATGATCTATGAGACCCTAAGTGAAACACGCTTACCTTTTCAACCTTGACTTTCTTTTGGGGGGGGGGGATGTTACACTAGGGATCGAACTCAGGACCTTGCACTTGCCAGGTAGGCATGTAAGCCACTGAACTATATCCCCAGCTTGTCTTTCATTTTCACAACCTATTACTCCATTCCTTTCCTCTGTCATTCCCATGCCTTGCCTTTTAGGGCAATAGTATGTACTGTATGATTTTTCTTTTCAGATTGGCTAATTACAGCAGTGGTTCATAAACTTCAGTGTGCACCAGAACCACCTGGATGATTTAGTTGAGGTGAGCTAAATCACTTGGTCACCCGAGCTTTCAATTCAGTAGGGCTAGGGCATTTCTGATTAGTTTTCTGATGATACTGCCTCTACTGGTCCATGTACCACACTTTGAAAACTACCATCTTATTTTTAATTTTTTTTTCATAATTTTATTGATAAACAAATAGCAATGAGACAGTTTCAAATCAAATCGCTAGGACAGTTTCAATAATTAACACATTGCATACATTCTTCTTAGTGGTTAATTGCTGTACAAGATGCGGACTTGAGATCTTATTTAAAAACACCATTAGAACAAATCATTCCATTCATTAAGAGAATGTAACTATATATCTATCCTACCCACTTTGAATACACAGATACAAAATGGACATTCATCTGTATACCCTTTTTTTGTTAAGTTCTGTTATTTGAATATTATAGGTGTGTAAACTCAGCAAAATATTCTAAAAGAGTCCAGTAGACCATAATAGCATTGGGTCTTCTGTTTAACTGGCAATGTCAGAAATTGTTGACTTGAGTCCCCCACAGCTCAACATAACAGCATGGCTTTACTTCCTATATTTCGTCTTCATACTTTTCTACTGGATGGTTAAGACCAAGGTAAAGCAGGACCTATGCAACAAGAGTTGTAGCTTTTGGGTCTGATAAGGTCAGTGAAATCCCCTCAGGATTTATTCTGAGATCCTGTACCTCAGATTGTAGAACCTTTGTCAGTGTCAGCCATGTGGATGAGTCACAGCCATTGCTTGGCCAATGTGCTCTCTGTGAAAGGCTGAGAGAATGTTTTCTCTCCATGTGACTCTCCTTAGGCACACTCTACATCATCGATCACTTTCCTCTTTGGCCCCATAATCTCCTTGATCAGAAAATTTGGGACACTACCGAGTTACATGACGTTATAGCACAAATTCTCATATGTCCTGAGTCTTAATTGACCTTAGAGGGTTAGGGCCAAAATGTTGACTTTCCTTGCAGCCCTCCTTTTTCTCTAATTTTGGTCTGCAAACTTAGGTTGTTAACCATCCAGAAGACAAGCTTATTGTTATTTATCAAACAACTTAGGCTATTAAGCTTAACCTCACTATCTGTCTGCATATCAAACATCTTAGGCATAATAAGGAACAGGTATTTTTCATCAAGTATTGATATGCTGAACTTTAGGTCCCTACATAATATGATAAAAAACATTTAAAAATTAGATTATATTTTAAAAATAGGATAAAGAATTCTATACTTCTCATGTTTGCACATAAATCCAAAAATCTCACCATATACAACCTTGAAGCAGGACAGTCCCACAATATTCCTTTTCCTGTCTCTTGCTTTCATTCACCACCCCCTTCTTCTTGAACATCCACCTACCCAAGAGACATCATGGCAGCAACTGGCATGTCATGACAAGCAGCCCATATTCAGAATACCAGAATGACAGGCACTCCAAACATGAAACTACTATTACAAATTACCATCTGCAGTGCAGTAGCTTAGTTCGCAGGTATTAGCATATATAGTTAGTCAGGGTGAGAATCTTTCCCAATAATTGCTAGATTAAAAAATCTTCTGTGGGGCCGGGGAGATGGCTCAGTGGAATATGCGCTTCCCTGGCAAGCACAACGGCCTGAGTTCAATCCCCGGTTCCGAAAAAAAAAAAAAAAAATCTTCTGAAGATTCTCCGGATCATTGCCTTGCTCATCTTTTACATATAACTGTATGGCTTGACATTGTCATGTTTCCTAGTTCTTCTCCTTTCCAAAACTACCATCTTAGAATAATCTTTTTTTTTTTTTATTTTTTTGCTCTGCATGACTTAAGGGCAGGTTTGGCTGGCTTGAGTTGTGGGGATCGAACCACAGCAACCTAAGCCTGACTGCTTTGTTGAAGCAGCCACTTAAGAGAACTGAACTAAGGGGCAGGGTCCCTCTTAGAATAATCTTAAATCCTGCTGCCATCACCTGGCTGATTTAATCTTGCGGCTCTTCCCTCATGTCAGAACAGGGTGTTCTGGGGCACACACTACTACCCGTCACATCTTCCATTACCGGGTAGTGTAACCTTCTATTTGTGTTTCACACACACCAGACTGTACCCACCCTGTACCTTGCCCTCACAGTCTGACCCACAGAAGCCACCAGATTTACATGGCTGAGTAAGTTTCCTTATTGTTGACACTTTAAAAGACTCAAATGAAAGAATATCTGTGCAGTTGTACAATATTTGGAAAGACACGCTTCTGTTAGACATGCTTCTGGGTGCTCACAAGAAAGAACAGAGACACATAGGTGGGGTTGAAGGGAAAATACTGATTTTATATTAACACTTGTTAGGATGTTTTGGTGTTCACTTCAATTCTTTCCAACCAGAACACCACACTGAAATAATGACTGACTACAAAGGTCAAGAATGTGAGTTGATAAGACATTTTACCCATTACCTTTTCAATAAATACTTCAAAGTCTGTACTTTGTTCTTCTAAAATTGCACTCTTTGCCTTTAGACTAAACACCCCAAACCACAAGACTATCTAACAGTCAAGACTTAAAAATACTCTTCAGTCATTCCCAGAACAGGCCAGATGTTGAAATTCGAAAGTAATTGGCTTACGCAGGTCTACAGATCATTACTGTATCTAAAATTTCAACCCCTCCCCAGCTTAAGAGACTTTGAGGTTTGTCATAAATTCATGGCAAATTCATGGCAAAGTCTGGCCTAATGATTGTACCATTGGCCATTTGAGATTATTTCTAGTCTTTATTTAATCCTACTTAAGAGCTAATCCTAATGTTTCATTACAAGTGCTCCAGATCCCACTGGTGTGTTAAGAGTATACAGCATGTGCATTACTTTCTTGTCCAAAATCCCCACATTTCTGAATTCTTCACCACATGTGGCAAGAAAGGAATTGGATAAAGAGCTATGTGCCTACATTGAGTGAATCATCAATTTCCTTTAGTCTATTTTTGTGTCTACTGTACTCCAAATGTTTATTCAAATTCTGCCCCTTATTGTTTTATTCTTTTACTTGAAAATTCATTTTATTGAAAGCAGTTTTCCTTATTCTATGTTTTAATATCAGCTAAATCTGTTGGAAACTATATGTTCCTGCTTATACACAAGACTTACTTTTTAAAATACCAGGTTATAGGAAATTCTACACTTCTTTGGGATCCTCGTGCTCACTGAAATCACATGAATCACCGTCACCCTCATATGAGTCATCAACAGAACAACCAAAGTTATAGACTAAAAATATACGTCTAGTGGGAAACATTTTGGGATGCATTTCAAAGACTGGTGTTACATTTGCAAGTCAGTGACATTTGGCAGTCTCAACAGAAGAAAGCAGAATTTTTGTAGATTAAGACGTAAAGGAGGGGCTGGAGAGATAGCTCAGTAGAATAGGTTCTTCCGCGGGAAGCACAAGGTCCTGAGTTCAATCCCTGGTACCGGGAAAAAAAAAAAAAAAAAGATGTAAAGAGGACAAAGAAACATATCGTTGTAAAGAGAAAACCATGAAACAGAAACACAGCACATATGTAGGAGTAAACTAGACAGGAAATGTGAAGAAAATGCTACCGGATCCTTTTAAAGCCATAATCATGATGACTGATAATACTCAAGATTAGAAAGGAAATACAGCCACCATATTATCATGCTCTTGCTGGTGAAAAAAATTTATTTCTAGGAAGCCTGTTAACATTCAAAATCTTACAAAGAGGTATTTTCTTTGAGTCAGTAATTATATTTCTGTGAATTTATTATAAGGAAATAATATAGGAAAAGTATGTTAAATATATACCTAGCCTTGCTTGTAAAAAACAACAAAAAAACCTTTAAAAGTCTAAACTGGGTGTGGTGGCGCACCCCTGTAATCTCCACACTCAGGAGGCTGAGGCAGAGAATCCTTTGGAGTTTGAGACTATCCTGGGCTACAAAGTGAGCTCAAGGCTAGCTGAACTACATAGCAAGACCTGTCTCACAAAGGAAAAAAGTTTATTAATTAGGTATTAGATGAACTAGCTATTATACCTAGACAGCCATTAAAATTAATTTTTCAAGGTCTGGCCAAATAACTCAGCGGATTAAAGTGCCTGCAAGCAGGGGCAGAGACCAGGGGTTCAATTCCTGGGCCTGCCCTGCCGGCCTCGCCCCTGGGGCATGCTGAGATGCCACTGAGACTGGGCATGGTGGCGGGCGCCTGTAATCCCAGCTCTTGTGAGGCTGTAAACAGGCGGATAACTATGAGTCCAATCTAGTAATGAGACCTGAACACCCTGTAGACCCTTCCCTAAAATACTCTTACAAAATGTGTCTAAAGCTGGACATGAAGGTGAATGCTTGTTAATTCCAGCACTTGGATTCTGAAGCCAGCCTACATT